AAGAATTGGAAATCACTTTGCTGGAGGGGGAAAAAGGAACACAAAACCTCTGGGTCAAGTGTATGACTAAGCCAGCTAGTGTTAACAAATACTCAGGTATTTGGAAATGACTCAGGTAACCAGAAATTCTTAATAGAAACTATTGGAAGCTCAAGGACCTTTGAACAAGAGGAATTGCACAGAAAAGAAACTGGCATCATCGCGCTCCTTTTCATAACGTGAGTGATAAAGTCAATCAAGGTTAGAGCAGATAAATTCAATAATCCCCATCCCACTCCCATGGAGAGAAGTTTCTTAAGAGTCTTTTTAAAAAGAGCTGACACCTCATTCCCTTTCCAGATTACCGGGCCGGGGTCTCTTTTTCCAACCTTATTCCCACAAATTGTGATGGTCAAAATAGCCCCCTTGCCTTTTTACACAGATATGGATACAAACCAACCTCCTTGCAAGCCACCTATACACAAGGCCTAAGTCAAGAGAAGAGGCTCCCTGCCCAGCCACGTGGCTCAGTAGTTAGTGACAACCTATGAACAGGAGGTCATGATTCGATTCCCAGTCAGGGCACATACCTGGGTTGCGGGCTCGATACCCAGTAGGGGAAGTGCAGGAGGCAGCAGATCGATGATTCTCTCTCATCATTGATGTTTCTATCTGTCTCTCCCTCTCCCTTCCTCTCTGTAAAAAAAATAAATAAAATATATTTAAAAAAAAAAGAGAGATTCCCCCAAAGTCTACTGTCCTCTCTAGTTCTGCTACTTGCTATTTCTTGTTAAGTCTATGTCTTATGTTAAAACAACTTAAGATAATTAGCATAGATCCCTTGGGACCCTGGAGCCACGTGAATAGATAAGAAACAAATTTTTTTTTATATTTTATTAATTTTTTACAGAGAGGAAGGGAGAGAAATAGACAGTTAGAAACATCGATGAGAGAGAAACATCGATCAGCTGCCTCCTGCACACCCCCCACCGGGGATGTGCCCGCAACCAAGGTACATGCCCTTGACCGGAATCGAACCTGGGACCCTTGAGTCCGCAAGCCGACGCTCTATCCACTGAGCCAAACTGGTGCTGGCAAGAAACAAAATTTTAAAGGACTAAGCCTAACTGTGTCTGGCCTGCAGGGTATTTGTTAGTTTTGTTTTTCTGACTGAAGCGACCTCCAGTGTTATCTACTGATGCTTGTAACAGATGTTTCTTCTAGAAGATGTACTTGATTCCCCAAATTCTGGCTTGTTTTGGGAGAAGTAGGGTTCTTAGACAAGATACAAGAAGTGATCTAAGAAGGAAACCAATAACAATAACAGCCCCAGTGTATATTGTTCGCTGAATGTTCACCAAATGCAAGGCCCCATGCTAAGAACTTTACAAACATTCCCATAAAGGTGAGGACATTCCGTATGAGGAGCTGAGGCTTGGAGAGGGTAAGGTAACTTGCTCTACACAGGCACAACTTGAAAGAGCTGAACTTCATACCCAGATATGACAGCAACTCCATGCTCTGAGAAACCTGAAGGAAGCAATGCCAGGAAGGGAACATGTGGAAGAAGGTGACACTGAATAAAAAAGAAATGTCATAATCCTGAAGCTAAGTAACATGCCCGAGACAAGGCCCTTCTCTCGGCGCTCTGGCCATTGCTGAGAAGTAACCCGTGGGCCACGGAACCATGGGCAGGACCCACAGCTTTAGAAGGTGGGAGGCTTCTCTTACCCTTCTAGAAGCAAAGGGTGTCGAGAGAATTGATAACAGAGAGGTCCTGAGATAAACATGGTGTCCCTCAAATGGTCCCCGGGTGTGTGCCCACTAGAATGTGATCCAAGGGTGCCAGCCCTCCATTGATTTCTGCCCATACCTATTGATCCAGAGGGCCGATTGCTCAGACTGAAGAACACATGGGAAGCTACACCTACTTCAGGCAAAACAGACTTTAAGCCAATGAGTATAGTAAGAGACAAAGAAAGTGACTACATAATGACAAAGGGGTGAATTCATCAAGAAGACATAATAACCATAAATATAAACACACCCAACATCAGAGTACCTACTTACAGGGTGTCCCCCCAAAAAATGTATACACACTCTGGATGATTATAAAGTCAGTATTTATTAACACACAGTTCATTAAAAAAAGTTAAAAGCACTACAGAAATGAATACATTTTTTTGCCAATGCCTGTTTTCAAACTGATTACCGTTCTGGTCCAGGCACTGCTGATAACGTGAAGCAATGGAATCACAAACATCAAGAATCATTTCGTTCGGTATTTGTTCACCCTCAATTCACCAACTGTGGCCCATTTTGTACCATAAACTTTATCTTTTATGTATCCCCATAAAAAAAGTCTAGTGGCACTTTAGGGTAAATTTTCTTTGTTCAAAGCTTAGTGTGGCTTCACCCATTATTTCAAATCAGTTAAACCTGAAAAGGAGTGAAAATTAAGTGAGTTATCAGCTGTTAAAGTGTGTATACATTTTGGGGGGCACCCTATATAAAGCAAATAACAGACGTAACAGGAGAAACACGCAGCAATACAAAGAGTAGGAAACTTTAATACCCTACTTTCAACAATGGATAGATCATCCAAACAGAAAAACAATAAGAAAACATTGTACTTAAACTACACATTAGATGAGAAGGACTTAATGGACATTTACAGAACATTCCATCCAAAAGTAGCAAAAGGCACTTTCTTCTCACGTGTACATGGAACATTCTCCAGGAGAGGTCATATATTAGCCCACAAAATAAGTCTTAATAAATTTAAGAAGACGGAAATCATATCAAGGATCACAATGATATGAACGTAGAAATCAATTTACAGGATACCTAAAACATTCACAAACATGTGGAGACTAAGCAATATCAATGGGTCACTCACATCAATGGGAGACTGAACCACCAATGGGTCAAAGAAACCAAAAAAGAAATAATAATAATAAAAAAATATATCTTGAGCCAAAACTGGTTTGGCTCAGTGGATAGAGCGTCAGCCTGCGGACTGAAAGGTCCCAGGTTCGATTCCGGTCAAGGGCATGCACCTGGGTTGCGGGTACATCCCCAGTAGGAGATGTGCAGGAGGCGGCTGATCGATGTTTCTCTCTCATCAATGTTTCTAACTCTCTATCGCTCTCCCTTCCTCTCTGTAAAAAAATTAATAAAATATATTTTAAAAAAATATCTTGAGACAAATGAAAATGGAAATATGACACACTGAAACTAACAGAATGAATACCTACATTAACAATAAACACTTATATTTAAAAAAAGAAAGATCTCAAACAACTTAACTTTACACCTCAAGGAACTAGAAAAAGGACGAACAAATCTCAAAGTTAGTCAAAGTTAGGAAATGATGAAGACAAGAAAGAAAATAAATAAAATAGACATTAAAAAGGCAATAGAAAGGATCAAAGAAACTAAAAGCTATTGTTTGTTTTTTTAAGATGAACAAAATAGACAAACCTTTAACTAGATTTACCAAGAAAAAAAGAGGTCTCAAATAAATAAAATTAGAAATGAATTCCCAAACATGTCTCTAAAAGCCGAACATTTTAATGGAAGAACTGGCAGCAGAGGCCACGTTTTCTGAATCCAAAGGTGGCCACGGGAATCCAGCTGCATAAACAGTGCTGAGTGGCAGGAAGATCAGTGTCCAGGGCTGGCAGTTGTTTTCTACAATAGTGGGATCCTGGAAAGTGAGGAAGTCTCGAAAAGCCTGGGACCTGCAGGTTTGACAGCTTGATCAGCCCAACCAAGAGATCTTTAAACTGGATATTTAAGAAGAAAAGGGAAAGAACCCACGTAAAACTGCATCCAGACCACAGGGGGATCCTCCCTTGGAACCAGAGGTGGGAAAGGCTACAGAGGGAAGACCAGACGCTATTTTCTCTCCTTAATTACCCACCGCACCTGATAAATGGTGTCTTTTCCTTTTTCAGTGCTTGGTGTTAAGAATGCTCAGCCCTATATATAGAAAGATAGATTAGATAGATAGATAGATAGATAGATAGATAGATAGATAGATAAAAGAGTGCTCAATTCAATTGGCCCACACTGATGGGATATATATATGTATATATTTTATTGATTTCAGAGAGGAAGGAAGAGGGAGAAGGAGATAGAAACATCAATGATCAGCTGCCTCCTGCAAGCCCCCCACTGGGGATCAAGCCCACAAACTGAGCATGTGCCCTTGACCCACGTCCTGCTTAAAAGAGACCTTTTCCTTAAACTGTATCTATTAAACAAGCACAAGCACAAACAACAACAAAAAATGTGCTAAAAGCTGATGAATGCAGTTATCCACAAAACACTCAAATAAGTAGGCTAAGGTAAACCCGTGTCTAGCTACAAATGTACTTAACTTAAAAGTTCACTGTGACATAAGCAGCAATTCAAAATTTTAAGAACAAACTTCATAAAAATCTCAGCTACTGGATTAATAGAACATTGCAGTGGCCCAAATTATATCCAGTCATATTCTATCATAATCTATCTGTCTCTGGCCCTGGCCAGGTAGCTCAGTTGGGTAGAGCATTGTCCCAATACCAGGGGTGGGGAACCTCTTTTTGGCCAAGAGCCATTGGATATGTGTAACATTATTCTTGGGCCAAACAAAATTATCACCTTAAAAATTAGCCTGCTATGTTTGGTTAAACATTTAATTAACTCACCCCTAATGCTTTGGCAGGGCCAGACCAAATGATTTCACGGGCTGTGGGCCAGACGTTCCCCACTCGGATTATGCCAGGCTTTCAGATTCGATCCCCAGTCAGGGCACATACAGGAGTCAACCCATGAATGCATAGATGGGTGGAACAATAAGTCAATGTTCTCCCTTTCTCGCTAAAATTAATAAACCAATAAATATCTAAAATTAAGAAAAATAATAATCTACCTGTCTCCTACAGTTCAGGAGAGAGATTTTTAACTGTTTATCACTTGGCCTCCTCGCTCCTCACTCTGAAGAAGGCTATATATTAATTTTCGGTGGCCCGAATACAGCTTACCAGGCAGTTATCCAAATGGGGCAGGAAACGAGTGCCAGTAATTTGATCTCCCCTAAAGCAAAATAAAGCCACCCAGAGGACAGGCCCTTGGAACACAGGAATTACAGAATGAAGGATGGCAAGAAGGCTCCCTTCTCCCCATCCAGCTTAAAGCCATGGAAACAGCCCCCACAGTACCTGCACGTACCACTGATTTCTCAGTAGCTATGAGGTGATTTGAGAATACCGAAGTCTGTGCCCGCTTTGTTTTCTTTACATGATGGCAATTAGAGGTTCTCCTATAATAACCTCTTGCAGTCCCACAGCTTACTGAGTGGGTGTGGAAGGAGTGGAATTAGGGCTGAGGTGCCCTCAGGGGCTGCCGCTGTCCCAGAGATGCTGCGGGAGCCTGGAAACCAGGGTTTTATAGCTACTTCCATTTGTTGTTTTAAATTTTGCCTCCAGATCCAGACTGAAAGCACTGAGAGTGTATCACCATCTACTTTGCCATCTACAATGCTATGAACATTTCAGTAATAATGACAACAGTCAGAGCAACCAACGAATTACAAGTGGGCAAAATGCTGATGTAATGGAAATGTATACTGGTATATACAAATACTATTTAAAATAAGAAAGCCTAATCATTTTATGTGTTGTTAATTTAATAACACAGCACGTGGTTTTTTATTTGCTTATTTGTTACTAGTAAAAAAAAAAAAAGAGGCAGTTGTGGTGTGGTAATAGTGAGAAAGGCTATACACTTAACATGTGCTAACAAAGCAATATGGCTTTTAAAAAAACAATGTCACTTACTATTGAGTTAAAAGCAATATATCATTAAAATCATAGGAATTGATTATACAACTCTACTTAGTATTGGTAAGAGAGCACTTCAAATTATACACTCAAATTTGGCCATTAACTGTAATAGAGGAATTAAAAAAATTAGAATGCCCTTCCCTAGAGGAGGGGGACCAGCATGGTGAGGGGTCTAGAAATCAAGCCATAGGTACAGTTATGGAGAGAGGGAGGCATGAACAGAGTGCTTAGCGTGGGAAAGATAGGAAGGATTGTCCTAAGAGAAGCCTTAGTTTACTCAGCATCAGAAAGCAGAGAAAAGATCAGTGAGTTTAATTATAGGGAGGTTTCTACTAACAGCTCTGCAACGGACAACTTTCCCATGTTGACAAGCAGTGAGCGCCTCATCACAGGAGGCAATGATGTATCGGAGAACGCGCACCTCTACTCAGTAGGAAAGTGGGCCAGATGACCTTCAAACTTCCTTTGACTTTAAAATTATTTCATTATCTTTAACCTCAAATCTACTCATTATGGTTAGAATTGAAACAGCAATGCTGAGTCTAATTAATAAATCAATAAAAAATAAGTCACCTGCCGGCCTGTGTGGCTCAGTGGTTGAGCATCACCCTATGAACCAAGAGGTCTCGGTTTGATTCCCAGTCAGGGCACATGCCCAGATTTTGGGCTCCATCCCCAGTTGGGACATGCAGGAGGTGGCTGATCAATGATTCTTTCTCATCATTGATGTTTCTATCTCTCCTTCTCCCTTCCTCTCTGAAATCAATAAAAATATTTTTTTAAAAAGTGACCCAACCACTGACTATTTCTGAGTGTAGACATCCGTGGCTTCCATTCAGGAAATGGAAAGAGGGCTACCTTTGCTGTGACATACCATGTGGTGAACCAAGCTTTGTTGGAATATATATTAGAGGTAAGGTAAGGAATGTTTGCTACAAACTACACAGTCTTACCCTCATCTCTTGAGTGTATCCCAGTTCCATTTCAATCTCACCATCTGACACTTAGTCCTAAAGACATAAAGAGCAAGGCCACCGGCTTCACCCAAAGAACCTATCTCTGTGTTCTCCTTCATTTTTAAAAATACAATTGAATTGTGTAATTTCATGCACATTCCAAGGGACCTTACACTCCCTGTGTCATCTATTACACCTATAAAATACTGCACAGTGAAGAGCTCTGCAAAGCAAACAGTAAAACTCACTCAAACACACTCCACAGAACTGGAATTCTAATTAAGTCTGAACTTTAGAAAAATAGTCATAGTAGGAACTGTGACTGATGTTTGACTCCTGGCACTAAGTTTATGGTCATATGCATTGCTGGCACTTTAGGTCTCAGAGCTGACTTGGGAACCCAGGTAGGCCAGTATCTTCACAGATACAACTACTAATAAAATGTATTGAGTCCTTGTAACCTGCCCAGTACTGTATATTCCCAGGGCCCTTAGGTCAGCTCAATAAACCGAGCCCCTGGCCCCGAGAGAGTAAACACTAATATTAACACCCTCCAGCAAACTGGGGTTTAAGCAATCTGAGCAAGGACGATAAACCAGGGCTGAGCTGGAAGCGCAGCTGTCTGACTCCGAAGCCCCTGCTCTTCCTTATCCAGTGTCCTGCTCAGCGGCACTTCAACACGACTGCACCCCAGTGCTGTGCTGAGAGCACCCCCACCCTGGGAGCAGCCTGGGGCAGGCCCCTGACTCCCGGAGGCAGTCAGCAGCCCCAAACTGCTGAGCCACTTGCAACTGTTATCAAGCCCAGGCTGGCAGGGCTATGACGGCTCACTTCACCTGTGGCTAATACACGTATAGTAAGACAGAAAGGGTTCCTACCCAAGCAATATAGTGCAACGCTGGGTCTGTAAAACTTCTGGCAGGCATTTCTGAGAGCAATGAATTTTGACCATCTCTGCAAGGAGAACTACTCAATGCGACCCTTAGCTGTTTGGAATACATGCTAGCATAAAAGACATCCTGCAAGCTTCTATATATGTGAAAAAAATAGTGAAAATCCTTCACACAATCAGTAAATCCTAACTGTACAAGAAATTCATTGATTCAGAAGTAACTCTAATTAACTCTTTATCTACATACTACTTTATATCGCCCAAAATTCAAAATTCCAGAAGCTTGAGTCGCCAAATCACAGTCACAAAGCCCTCATGAGTGCAAAGGAAATCTCTCAGAAAAAGGGAGGGACCCTTCAAAGCATACTTCCTCTCGCTGCCATCCACCCTTCACCTGCTGAGTGCCCAGTGCTGGGGCCTTTGAGAGCCGGCACAGAAGCTCAGGCAGTGGCCAGAATGGCAGCATGCTGGGGGAGGAGAGAAGTCCCTGTGGGTCAGACCTGGGCCTGAGATCTGGCACTGCCTTCAGTCAGCTGCATACATCTGCCTCCTGTCACCTTCTGCCCACAACACGGGAGGGGAGGGCAGGGCGGGGCAGGCGGAGAGTGCATTGAGTGCATTTCCCTGCACTATGCTCTTATCTCTATTCTCCTCCAGCAGAGCTGTCACTTGTCTAAGAGGGGAAAGGCAGGGGAGGAAGAAGAAAGGGAATGAGATGTGAATTTCTGATCTCACCAGCACACCCAAGAATTCAGTCCTAAGCGAAAGGCGAACACATCGCCACGTGACAAGCAGGTGCAGTCAGATGTCAGAGGCCTTTTGGCAAATTAGAACAGATGGGATTTGTGCTTACCTGACTGCTGATGGACTCTTTCTTGGCTGAGCTCTGAGCCTGAGGTGGGCCCTGGGCAGGTGACAACCGCGAGGGGCTCTTCTTACTCTGAGGCAGCAGTGAGGACAGGAAACCCACACGAGGCGACTGGGAGAGGGATGTGTTCCTCTGGCTGCACACCATGGCTCTGGACAGGCACACACACACACAAGGTCACAGGGCTGGAGGGGGACCTGGGAGAAGCCGGAGCACAGGCCTGCTGGGCTGCGGACAGCGCCAGGGGCCAGGGCCTTAGCTGGGTTCACACGCCTGGGCTTTAGGTGGCGTTATCCTCAGTTCTCTTGCTTAGACCAGAGAGCCAGCAGCCTGTCCGACACAACGGGAAGTCTGAGCCTCTCCTCTGAGGGCTCTGGGAAAGCTCAGATGCTCTGTTTATATTCATCACAGGTTTGAAATGATGATCTGGATATACTGGGCTGAATAAAACACATCATTAAAATGAACTTCACCTATTTCTTTTTACTTTTTTTTAACATAGCTAAACTTCTTTAAATCACATTTCTTGGTGTGCATTCTATTACCATCAGATGGTGCTAGCTCAGAAACGAGAGCAGTTTCACTGGGTGCAGTGCTTGGCCACATGCAGGTGGGGAATCTGACTGGGTTTGTGTCCTGACTCACCACTCACTCAGTCACTGTGACCTCTCTGTGCCTACATCTCTTCGACTGCTACTGCTGTTATTATTATCAACTGGGTCTTCTCTTTAGCTGGCTATTTTTTAATGTCACTCAAATACCTCTCCCTCAATCTGCCTACCACTTCAAACCCTCACACAGGATGATGCTTCTACTGTGGAACGCATCCAACCTGTGGTTGCCAATCTTTTCAACCTTGAGGTACTGCTTCCAATGCACAAAACTTCACAAGGCTTTAGACCAGTGGTTCCCAACCTTCCTAATGCCGCGACCCTTTAATACAGTTCCTCATGTTGTGGTGACCCCCAATTTCATTGTTACAAATTGAACATAATTGATTAATCACAAAAACAATATGTAATTATATATGTGTTTTCTGATGGTCTTAGGCGACCCCTGTGAAAGGGTCGTTCAACCCCCAAAGGGGTCGCGACCCACAGGTTGAGAACCGCTGCTTAGACAGCAGTTGTATTTATTTATCCAGGTGGCACACCCAGATGTGCAGGTCCCTGGAAGAGCTCGGCAGGCTGAGGACCTCTGAGGCCAGGGGAGCTTACTCAGTGAGGAAGCATTAACCATGAGTGCAGGAGGCTCTTGGGAAATTCTGCAACTCCAGGAGCAGGGGGCCCAGGTAGAGCACAGGGGGAAGAGGGAAGGAGGGGGCTAGGCCCTCCAACCACGGGGCAGGGCACACACTCACAATTCCGAGTCCCCCAGGCGGTCCATGTTGGAGACATAAGGAGGCAACTTGTGTTGGACCAAGGCCTTTTCTTCTTCTGGCTGTTGCTCCTCTTTCTTTAGTCGGTGGATTTCGGCTTGCAATGCAAAAAGCTGCAGAGAGATGGGACGGAGTTCATCAATGACATCACCCTGCTGGGAAGATTAGCCACATCACATCCAACACTCAACCTCACTGGTTCAAAAGGGCACTGCCTCTCAGGATGCCAGTCCCGCTCTCTGCCCACTGTGGTTTGGGAAAAATGGGCGAGTGCAGCGGTTACCTGACTACAGTGAGGTGAGAAACTGAAAACCGTTAGATATACAAAACCCTTTTTTTTTCTTTTTATCATTTGACTCGCTTCCCTTTTATCATTTTACTTGCTTCCTCCTGAATTCACTGAGAAAAATAGCTCCACCCAATCCTGCTTTGCTCTTGGGAATCTACAAATCAGACCCTGGAACGCTCATGGAAAAGTTTAATTAAATAAGGTTCAGCATTTTTACTGTTTGCCTGAAGAAAATTATACACCCCCCCCCAAAATCCAAGAATCTCTTTTTTTTTTTTAATCCTCACCCAAGGATATTTTTCCATTAATTTTTAGAGAGAGTGGAAGAAAGAGGGAAAGACAGAGAGAAATATCGATGTGAGTGAAACACATCAATTGGTTGCCTCCTGCACACACCCTGACCAGGGCCCAGGCCAGGGAGGAGCCTGCAACCAAGGTACATGCCCTTGACTGGAACTGAAGCCGGGACCCTCTATCCATTGAGCTAAACCAGCTAGGGCAAAAAAACCCAAGAATCTTAAACCCCAAAACTTAAACAGTTTATAATCTTCCTTGTTCTGAAAATCTTCCTGTTTCTAAAGAGATCTTAATTTCAAGGACAGATAAATGCTCAACAGGCAAAATATAAAGGCAAATGTAGGTTTCTAAGTCCTGTCACTTTACCAAACTAGAGAAATGGAGAGCTGAGCAGACAATTAAATAATATCTGGGTTATAAACAGTACAGATATAAATATATGTGGAAAAGGACTGGGATCACAAAATAGACATACGAAAACAGGTCAGCTGCCAGGTGGCATGAGTGCACATATAGTCTTTTCCCTCTCAAAAGTACATTACTGTTACCATGTTGTTCATCCTTAAATGACTTAAAATATGAATCCTGCCTCTGGTTTTCAGAGGCTATTACTGCCCCCGAGTCTCCAACTGATTTTCTGGCGACTCACTTTCCTCTGAGATCAGTGCTCTCCTCTACATGACCAGCCCTCCACCGCCCCTACCTGATTTCAAACACGAAAGCAAAAGTATTTCCAAGAAGCAAGTGTGCTCAGAACCAACCTTCTGGCGTAGAACTTCATTTTCTTCTTGAACCTGGCTGGTCCTCTGGCACTCGGCATCAAAGTTCAGGATCACAGGCACCGGTGCACACAGTTAAAGAATAAGCCTGCCTGGGAAAGGACTGAGAGACCTTCCCAAACTCTTTTTTTTTCTTCCCAAACTCTTGACACAGCAGCACCCCTGAACACAAGATGGGGTTATGGAGTACAGACTGAGTGCTATGGGGTCTTCTCAGCTTTATGAATATCAGAAAAAAGTGATTTGTTAAACTGATACCCTATGTGTAGCAGCATGATTCAGAAAATTACATTTTAACTAGTGGGCAGATTAATTGTCTCTTAAACAAACACCCCCCACCCCCCCCCCAAGGCCAGGCCTGGCCTGACTTCGTTCAGACAGACGTACAGACACGTGACAATCTGCTGGCTAGCCCACAGAGAGTTCTCTCCCAATGCCAGCAAGAAAGAGCCATATCCAGTGGCTTCAGAGCCAGTCCAAGCATCGGCAACAGGCAGCTGAGAGCGAGCCCAGAGGCCAGGCTCTGCGGGCACGCTGCTGGCCGCTCCACCAGCTGGGCAGAAGGATCCGCCACTCGGCTTTTCTCCCTGGCAAAGGTTTAGACTGAGGAGCAAGCTTTCTGCAGTTGGTGCGGCCGCATGCCACCATGTGAGCACCCACAGTGTAGGTCAGCGTGTCAGTCTTCCCCAACCACCTCAAACCTTCTGGCGTAGAACTTCATTTTCTTCTTGAACCTGGCTGGTCCTCTGGCACTCGGCATCAAAGTTCAGGATCACAGGCACCGGTGCACACAGTTAAAGAATAAGCCTGCCTGGGAAAGGACTGAGAGACCTTCCCAAACTCTTTTTTTTTTCTTCCCAAACTCTTGACACAGCAGCACCCCTGAACACAAGATGGGGTTATGGAGTACAGACTGAGTGCTATGGGGTCTTCTCA